ACCATCTGTTCCTTTTGTGAATTTCAGTGAACATTGTTATAGATCAGTGGTGGCGAACCTATGGCACGGGTGCCAGAGGCGGCATTCAGAGCCCTCTCTGTGGGCACGCGTGCTGTTGCCCCAGTCCTAGGCCTTAAGCTGGGTTTTATAAAACCTTTTCACTTTAGGCCTCCGCCACCGTGTACAAAAAAAAAAAGGTTTAATCAATCAGTCAATTTCAACTTCTCGCGGGAAAAAAAAGATCTTGCAAAGTTGGAATTGATTGAACATTTTAGTCCCACCCAGTCTTCTGTTATCACTGCAGCCACGCCCACCCAATGGGCCACACCCGCCTGGCACCCGACGATGCATAAGTGGATTTTGGATTGCAGTTTGGGCACTCGGTCTCTAAAAGGTTCGCCATCACTGTTATAGATTAAGAATATAGAATAAGAATAATTTTTGTCTTTATGAATATAAGTCTTCTAGTACCTGCCTTATATAATGGGTACATCATCCACATCTTACCTGACTTGTTCTAAGTGTATTGAACTTTAATTTCCATATTGTAATTCTCAACCAATATAGTGAACTACCATTCTGGCTGAGGGTTATAAGAAATAAAATCTGGAATATCTACAGGATTGCCCATTTGATGATTTAATAATGAAAACATTTTTTTAAGGAAAGAGAAATAACATAACCACAAAAAAAGCCCATGTGGAAGTTTAGTGTCCATGTTATCAGTGGTATGCTGAAGTAGGAAACAAATTATTTTTACTGTTAGCTTGGGAAAAGAATCTTGCTAGATAGTGCAGATGCTGAGATAGTGAGAAGAGGAAATCTTGGGAACGGTTGCTATGACAACAGGTTGAAGTGCTAGGCTCACAAGCGTTGCAGGCTGTGGGAAGTGTTTAGCTGAATCCAGATAGTAGGGGAACCTTCTATAAAGAGAAATGGCCAAAGCAAAATGTACTTGATCTTCAGTTCTTACAGTCATTAGAGGGAAACCAGGTACTGTACTTCTGAACTTCAGCTCCCTGCTGCTTGGCCAACAGTGCCAGTGATGGTAGGTTTGCTGGAAATTGTGGGTTCAGCAATGTTTAGAAGGCCTCAGGATTCTCTATTCTGTTGTGGCTTCTGAGAGCTACATGGCTATGTAGTTTAAATGAACGTTTGAATTTAAACCTGTAGGTTTTCAGTAATGCAGATAATAATTATGATAACTTCGACAAGTGAGGAGGTTATCTCCAAGACTGAGATTATCATCAGCCATTATGAGGTTTGTGGATATTTTTTTTTTATTACAGCAGCTGCACAAGAATTCAAAGACAGCCTACATAAAGGATCCTAGATGGCTTTCTTACAATCATTGTTAGGCTTACTTTAGCAAAACTGCTACATCCTGCTCCTTCTTGCTAGTGGCCGGAAATGGTAGAATCTGGTGAATTCCTGGAAGCCCATAAGCAAAGTTTTGTTTTCTATCTGAAAATAAAATTGGTGGAAGAAGGGAGAATCATCATGTCTTCTTCCCAGAGCTTTGTTGAAGAAGAGCAAAGTAAAACATTATATATAGTATGTACACCCGAGCCTAGGCTTTGGCACCAACACTTTAGCTGGCTGTGCTTGGGACAGAGAACAGATATAGTGAAGGATAGGAGTTATTTTTATGAAGTTATTTTCAGTGTAAAAGTAGCTATCCAGATTGTGTTGCACTCTAGTTTCCATCAGCCTCAACCAGCCATTATCACACATGTAGTTAACTAGACTTGTAATCCAACCTGCTTTAGAATGCTTTGTTTCAGTCTTATTAACTGGTATATGCTGTTAACACTTACATTTATTTTCTAAACATTCTGTTCTGATCATTTCAATAATCTTGCTAATTTCTTGCTTCCTGCAAAATGGTCATTTTCTAACCAGTCAAATCAAAAGATTTCTGTTATTTTAATTTGTGGGAGTCAGTCTTATTTTCGCAGTAGTCTTCTGCAGAGAATAGCATTGATTTGAGGCGTAGAGTAAATAGTTCACTTAATTTATATGATTTGGCCACCCATCTCATATAGGTGACTCTAGGTAGTGTACAAAGATTAAAAGCACAAAAAGCATGAACTAAACACACTGACACCACTCATTGCACTGCAGAAATCACAACACCTGCTGTTGACAAGTCTTGCTAAGCAAAACTCCATATTTAGAGCAGGCAAGAATCTACATCTTCCCTTGAGGAAAGGCAGCAGGCAGAGGCATCTGTCATATTCTCCTTCTCATGAGTTCCTAATCCTAAATTTTAGCATTCATAGGTAGGCTGCTTGGTGTCTTAAATAGTTAATGGAAAGTAAATTGTGACGTGGAGTGATTTTGGAACTATCAAACCTCCATTCCAGCCATTGCTCTGGATTGATGTTGAATGGGGCTGTGGTATGAGGAGGTATAAGCCAGTTGAATTCCACCACCATGTTGTATTTGCCACTAAAGCCCTATACAGCTGGAACTTGAGTATTTAATGGAATGTCCAGCCTCATATTCATTTGCTGAACCACAAATGCCATGGCTATAAGCAGGAGTTGGTTCCTAGTCATCAGACCTGGGATTTCTGTTTTTTTTTCAGCACCAGGTGAAAGCATATTTACCCAGAATAAGCCTTCCTCTCTTGCTCACACACACTTCTCCCCAAAAGCCTTCCCTATCTTTCTCACACACTTCTCCCCAAAAGCCTTCCGTCTTTCTTACACACTTCTCCCCAAAAGCCTTCCTCCCCTCTCTTTCTCCTCACTGCTTCTGACTTTTTCTCTGGTGTCTTTTTTTTCTCTCCCTCTGCCGCCAAACTGCCTCCTTTTATATCCTCTCCTGTCTCTGCCCTCCTCTCCTTTCTCTTCTGGGTGTGCCAGAAATGTCGATCCTGGAGCTTTTCTCTCACCCCAGCAGTCCTGCAGCTCTTGTTGACTCTCTCATGGCAAGTCCTGTGCTGCACTGCCTTAGCTTGTTCCCTCCCCCCCCCCCCCCCGTTACACTTGTCTAGGCTAGAAAGAGTCGTGTACCATCTGCCAGGTGCCAATGTACCAAAGGTAGTTCGTGTACCACCAATTGAAAAGCCCTGAGATAGGAAACTATACAAGCAGATTATTGTTGTTTCTTAAATACTAGTGGAAATATTTTGCTGCATTAATTTTTGTCACAAAATTATGACCTCTAGAAGCTTTTAGATTGAAGAATAGGGATATTATTTTAAACAGGTAGTTGTTAACATTGTAATCCTAAACCCAGAGAATTAGTCTTCTTGGAAATGCCTTATTGAATTCATTGAGTTGTAGATTATGGTTTGTTTATAAATGTGGAGATTAAAGGCATGAGTTATAGTTTGAGTTGTAAACTATGAATTGGACAAACTTTAATTTGGCTCAGTACTATCTGAAAAAAAATATCCAGAATTAATCCAGTGTTTTATATTATATTATGTAAGATATAGACCTGTCAACAGCAAAAGAATGTGTTTATGCAAAATACAGTTGAAGGAGAAGAGAAAATCTTTCTGCTGGTTATTTCACCCATAATTGTGTTGCATAATGTTTAAAAGAAAACATAAACATAAAATGAAAGCAGAGGTGACAAAAATGTATGCTATTTATTCATATAGCTATCCAAAATGTGTGCTTGCTATTAGTGGTTAGATAATGGCATGAAGTTAGACAGCAGTGCTGTTTTGTTATAAATCTTACTAGCAAAGTTAATAATTAGAAGGTGTTTCAGGCTTCAGGTTCAGGATTTCATAGCTGTGTACTGCCTGCATTCCCCAGATGCAGCTTTGCTTGTTTGCACCGCCCAGTTTCTGGTATGCTGTGGCCCGGTGCCGGTCCATGGACTGGGGGTTGGAGACCCCTGTACTAGATTATGAACCTGTGTAAATTTTAATTCAGCAAAACTGTTTAGAAAGAGGATAAGTTTTAAAAAAGTATGTTCTTTGTAAGGATTTAAATAAAAAAGAAATAATTGTTCACAGGGGGAAATACTTTCTTGTTCTTAATTCGGCCGTTTATCAGGTGTTAAATAGCTTTCCTGCATCGGAAGCAATGTATTCTTCATGCAGTGTTGGGGACCTTTGCCAAGGCCTATGGGAGAGAGGGAGCTTATAAACACACATGGCTACTAAAAGTATCTCATTTCAGCTCATTCCTTTAATGTTAAGACTTTATGCTGATACAAAATGCCAATATAAATTGCTTTTTAAATATATTTACACTGAAGGGAAGCTAAAAATACAGCATATACATAATTAAAAAGCAAAATAAATTAACAGCCAGGGAGGTGGTTTGAATTGAAGTTAAGACAGCTTGGAGTTACAGAGCTTGGAGCTGCACTTAAAACTACAGGTGGTCATAGTAGAATGGATTTTGGGGATTGTTCAAATAGGGAACTTCATTTTTGCTTTTTTCCCCCCCTTAAATAACATATTTCAAGCCTACACCAGGAATTTTCAAACTTTTAAGGCTGTGGATCCTTCTTAAAAACAAATTCCTGGAGCTGTTAATCAAGAGGCAAACTCTGGCAGTAGATTATTGAATGATATATTTGAGTAAATTTTTACTTTTGCCCTTAGTCTCTCACAAAACCTCACCTGGTCAAGATTACAGTTGATTTTTTCTGAATAAAAAAAATGTTAATTGTTATTTTTTGTGTCACATATGAAACAAATAGAAGCAGATATTTGTTAATGAATTTTGGGCTTGGACAAACTTTTGGGCTTGATGTTTGTAAAAACATTTTAAAAATATTTTGCTAAAAGCCATAAAAGTGGAGAACTCATTTTTCTTAAAACAATATCCTTGTCATATATAAGTGCTTTGTAGCTAACAAATGTCGGCCCTTGGTAAGAAAATTGAGATGCAGCAGGCATAGAATGGAATATACTGAACAGGAATATTTTAGATCATAATACTTTGTTGCCAATTCCATCTTTTCTTTTCTAGATTTCGGAGCTCATTTCTTCCCTCTGAATGTTCTTCTTTATAATACTCTTACAGGTTCATAGCCAAAAACATCATGCGCTTACAACGCCTGAGTATCACTCATGTCCTCAATGCTGCGGAAGGCAAGTCTTTCATGCACGTGAACACAAATGCTGAATTTTATGAAGGAACTGGTATCATCTACCATGGCATCAAGGCCAATGACACCCAGGAGTTCAACCTCAGCCGTTATTTTGAAGAAGCTGCTGACTTCATTGATATGGCATTAGCACAGAAAGATGGTAAGACATCTATGTCCAAATGGCTTTCCATGTAGCATGGCCAAATTGTTTTCTTGCTTAGTGGCTTGGATACAATTTCTTATCTTTGGTCTGGTTCACACTTGGTTTAAATTGTTGCCTGAATTATTTGGTTATCATTTTGTAACAAATTGAGGCAAAGATCTGTGTGCCCATTCATTGTTTTCTTAGTATTTAAAGTATTGCCAGAGTTAATCTCTCCAACTCATTGAGAGATTGCATGGCAGCAAGATGGGAAATAGTAAAGAGAAGAAAATATCTGCATTGGTAATAATTAAATGCTTCCTGCCCCTGCTCTCCTTCTCAACTGGCAGGAAAATTACTTCAGGAGTTGTCATTTAATAATTGACTTGAAGCCTTTATGTATGTGTGTATATACCAGGGGTAGGCAACCTCGGCTCTTTTATGACTCATGGACTTCAACTCCCAGAATTCCTGAGTCAGCTATGCTGACTCAGGAATTCTGGGAGTTGAAGTCCATGAGTCATAAAAGAGCCGAGGTTGCCTACCCCTGGTATATACAGATAGTCCTCAACATACGACCACAATTGAGCCCAATTGAATTGATAAATGGGTTTTGCCCCATTTTGTGACCTTTCTGGCCACAATTGTTAAGTAAATCTGGCTGCCCTGTTGACTTTGCTTCTCAGAAGCCTGCACAAAAATTATCACATAAATCTGGTACACTGGAACCATCATAAATACATGCTGGTTGCCAGGCATATGGATTTTGATCATGTGACTAAGGAGATGTTGCAATGGTTGTAAATATGAAAAATGATCATAAGTGACTTTTTTCAGTGCCATATCTTTGAACAGTCACTAAACGAATGATTATAAGTCAAGGATTATCAGTATACTATCAGTATCTCCTTCCTTTTCTTTTATACCATATAATTCTGCAGTTTCTTAGAACTATCCTATATTTTACAGTTTGACCCCAGTTTCCTCTGTAAGTTCTCTGGCCACCCATTACAAAGGGGTTTTTTTTTAATGTAAATGTTTGATATAGGTGGTCTGGAGGGGTGAAAATATGGAAGATAGACAGATCTCTTAATGTAGAACTCAACAACCTTTTTGATTCAGGGACACATTTTGAATTTTAGCAACACTGAAGAACAAAATTACTCGTATTGGAGACATGCCTGTTCATTAAATGGCCACCACAAGTGGAATGGGCAGCAATAAAACAGCCATTGCCAAAGGTCAAAAGGCCTTGGGGTGCAGTAAAAAAAATGTTTGGGGTATAATGGTCCCTGAGGGCACAACATTGCCAACAACTGTTTAATGTTTTCTTGTCCTGGATTCACTGAACTTTTGCAATCTTTTGGGAGCTAGAGGAGAAGATGGAAGAATCTGTTGAAATGTTAGCGTTTAAGAGAGGAAAAGTGTGGGAGATGTAAATGAGAAATGTGTAAATTATATCCAGTTATCACTGCAGAAAAAGTATCATTTGTCTGCTTACTGATCACTTGCAGTTGGCTGTGAGTTTGAGCTGTTATATAGGGACGACAAAGGGAAAGAAAATACTGTAAATGTCAGACTTTGCATTTTTCCTTAGCTTTTTATGTCTTTTCTCCATCTGAAGTAATTGCTGTGGATTTCTCCATAATAGAATTTTGGGCCTGGAAAAACGGGGATGAGAAAGATGAATGGTAGTCTGGCTTGCACCTATTGTTGGGGTGGATCTGGATTCATTCCCTCTTGTAGAATTGAGCCAAAGTTGCACTGAGATCAGGTATTGCAACCTTTGGTGGGATCTCATGAGGAAATAACATTTCCATGCTCCATCATTAGATGGCTCATGAAGGTATGGGCATGTAAAAATGTGTATTTTTTAAATGGCCCAAATTTTGCTAAACTTTTGTTTGAAGATTTCAAAAGAGATCATGAAAACTCACAAGACTGGCAATATTGTATGATAATTTTGGCCATTTATTTAAATCTAAAAAATACTTGTGTCCTGCAGAAGCTATTAGTGGATGTTGAAGTTGGGTGGTTATCTCTGAACATTGCATCACAGAGATAACACTTGAATAATAGGACAATGCCATCTCAATTGATGCCACCTGACTTTTATTCTCTGAACAGCCAAGGAATTGAATAAGCTGTTTGATGAATAAGCAAGATCCATCTCCCTAAGGCAGTTATTAGGCCTACACTGGGATGATTTTCTTTTGGTAAATCTACTTGACTGTATAGTAGTGGTGTATATGGGACTAAAGCATGCATGATTATATACATACACACATGAACACAATCTGTTTACCACTCTTAGTGCATTGCATATTTGCTTATTCATACACAACCCTGATAAACTTCTCCTGGGCCATTAAAGTGATTAGTTGATATGAAAGGATTTTTGTTAGGCTGAAAAGTTGGGGGAAACCTGGGGTGAAAGTATAACAGTGCTGATACTGGAAAAGAAAATGGTAGGAGAAATTATAGCTTTTCCCCTCTGGGCAAAGTTTTATATTGGAAGGATAGCTACACTTGATGGTAATCAGCATCTTGTTTTGAACCTAAGAGCCAGGAGAGACAAAAAAGAGAAGGCTTATAGAAATAAAAGGAATTGGCTGACTGTGTCATGTGTATGCCTCTAATATTTGCTGTGGGGTAGCCAAAAAGAGCAAAATGGCATTTTTCCATTTTCTATTTTGGCAGAGTTAGGAGAGAACAGAGTTCCAAAGGGAACTGACTCAGAAAATTGCAAGGGCCTGTCCCTAATCGGTTTAGATGGAAAGAGGGGAATTTGGTATCTAGAAATGCATCCTTGCATGAAATGGAAGTCCTTTCTCTGCTCCTTTGGGAATTTGTAGTGCTTTAATCTTAGAATTAAAGCAAAAACAAGAGATGGCAGCTAAATGGGATTTCTGAGATGTTGGGTAGTCAAATAATGTCCAGTAATCTGGAACAGTAAACAGATTTGCTATGTGTTCAGAACAGACTCCAACGGGGTTTCATTATTGGAAATGCTAAAGAGGGGGGAATTCTTTTTCTTCTTCTATCCCAACATGTGTTTATTTCTGGTTCATGTGTTGTACATTTATTACCTTTTTTCTCTTACCTCTGAGAATCGTCCATATTTATTTTCTTTCTAACCTCCTACCTTCCCATCATCCCTTCCTGCTCTATTTTTATATTATATTTTGTTAAAAGGAAAATCCAGGTGGACTATCTGGGCAAGTAAAAACTGTCCTTTCTTAACAGTATTAGAACACATTTCGTATTTGCCTCACAACTTCCATCATCCTGAACTAGTAGCTGATGGCCATGGGGATTGGACTAGAAGACCTCCAAGGTCCCTTCCAACTCTGTTATTCTATTCTATTCTATTCTATTCTATTCTATTCTATTCTATTCTATTCTATTCTATTCTATTCTATTCTATTCTATTCTATTCTATTCATCATGATGGGTGAATATATTGCCAACTAGGATTCAGCACATGTGGAAGATAGTACATTAGTCAAGACTTACATTTTTCTTATGTGAAAAAACAAGTTTAGGTTAGTGCAATAGTGGTAGTGGTTTCTGTGTCATTTTTGCTTTCTGGTTCTCCTCTTCTTCAGTAAAGCCTAAAACAATTAAACAAACAACATATAAATGTTAAGAACTATACTAAGAATGTGTGTATCCACATTGGCACTTACAACTTTATATAAATTCTCAACCCTGTTCATACTGCCTGGGGAATTCTGGATGTTGAAGTCTATCCATCTAAGGCAGGGGTGTCAGCCGGCCCACGGGCCAGTTGCATCATGCAGTGGCCACGCCCACCCCAGCTCCGGCAATGCGAAAAAAGTCATGATACGTCATGACACGTCATGTGATGCAGTGAGTTTGCCACTCGTTATCTAAGGGATGCCTAGGTTGGGGAAGGTTGTTGAAAACAGGGGAAAGTCTATTTGTATCCCGGTAGAGGTAGCACTTTAAAGTGGAGTGACAGCAGGCAAGAGAGAATGGTATATTCTCCTCTTAAAGTCCTCTGTTATTACATTTGCTATTCTCCCCCAGCCTTCCCACCAGCACCCATATCCACATATCTTTACCCTAAAGTTTATATTGTATGCTTATCTCTGTTATGTAGCCAGAATATCTTTGACATAATGTTGTGCTCCCACTTAGCTGTCTGTTATTTTTTTGCCAACTAGGTAGAGTGTTTGTCCACTGCCGTGAAGGCTACAGCCGCTCTCCCACCCTCGTCATCGCTTACCTCATGCTTCGGCAGAACATGGACGTCAAAAGTGCTGTCAGTGCCGTCCGGCAGAAACGGGAGATTGGCCCCAATGATGGCTTCTTGAAGCAGCTGTGCCAGCTCAATGAGAAGCTGGTGATGGAGAGCAAGCTGAAGAAAGCATAGGCGCTACTTAGCCTGTGGCCTCTCTGCACTTCTTGCCAAACACTGTTAATTGCTTTGAGTTGAGAGCTGCCAGGCTGCACAAGCGAGGCAGGAGAAAGCTCAAGTTGCTTTCAGAAAGATTGGGTGGGGTGGTTTCGAGTAGTACCAGAAAACTACTGCAGGATTGTGGCACCCTCAATGTGTATCCCCACCTTGTCCAGCCAGGCACTAGCTCACATATCTTTATTTTGGAATTTGTTGAGTATAGTTTTGTTTGTGTGAGAAAGAGAGGAAGAAAGTTGAAGGGCTTGGTTTCAAAGCACTTTGTGTCATTACTATAACTGTCTTAAATTTCACAGGATATGATTTTGCTGTTGTCCTCATTCCTGCCTCCACCCCCCTTGTAGATTTAATGGAGGGTTTTTTTCTTCACATGTTTAGAAGTAAGGCTGTCCTTGGATGGCAGCCCAGGCCAAAGGTGTGGGATTAGGTTCTAGTCCATATGATGTATTTGCAGGGCGCATTAGGGTTCTATTGATTTCCCCAGAAAGTTTATATAAATAGTCCACACTCTAAAACTATAGACCTCAGGTACCAGGGCAGTGCTAGATTAATTTCTCCAGCTGCTGAATCTTGGAGAGTCTTAAAGCAGGTAGCTCTATTTTGCTGAGCCAGACTTTGCCATTTAGTTCCTATCTATTTCACAATTTTAAGAATGGTAACATTTAAAAATGAAACAAATGATTGAGGTCATCCAGTTTGCACATAAATGTGCAGGTGCACATGCATACATGCAGATGCAGTGGCATGAATGTGCAGTAGTGGCTCTTTTTGATAGCTGGCCTTCCAGGCTAGTTATCCTTCAGTAAAGGAAATCCCACTTTCTTCTGAGAGAAGTTAATTCACTATCCAACAGTTCTTAGCCACTAGAAAGGTTTGTCCTAATGTTTTGCTGCAATCTTCCTTGGCCTTGATACCTCTTGCTTTAATCCCTGCCTTTAAGAGCAGAGTTGGTCAGCCTTGGGAACTTTAATATGTGTAGACTTCAATTCCCAGAATTCCCCATTTGTCCACACATATTAAAGTTGCCAAAGTTGAGAAATATTGTTCTAGAGCAAGAGCTCCTTTCTCCGTGTCATATCTTTCAGCTATTTGAAGAGAGTTATATGGTTTCCTCTTAGGGCTGATGCTGGGTACTTCCATTCTTTGGAACAAGGATGCTATCTAGAGTGGGTCATAAGCAATAAATTGACTAGCCAGGATCAGTGTCAAGAATGTCTGCAAAGAGGCACCCTGGCTGTCAAATGTATGTGTGGGAGTGTTTGTATACACATGCATGCACACCACCGCCACATATGTCTTTCGCTTATGCTAGTTAAAGTAGGCCCCTTGGGTCATCACAAGATAGGAAAGTAAATGTTTAGTAAAAAGAAGCACAATTTCTTGTCATCAAATTATCCTTCTGTTTAACTGTGCTTGATATGAATGTGGATATAAAATAGATGTTATACTGTACTGAGACATGCACGCATACATAGGCACATGTACAAGTAATGAAAAAGCCATCTAAGAACAAACTTAATGTAGTAATATTTTCTATATAGTGTTGATATAGGCGGGTTTACAGCTTCTGTGTTAGAAGCAAATTCTCCCCCCTCCCTTTTTTGTTTCTTTTGTCCTGTCCTTTTGCCCTCTTGTTTGCCTACAAAGTCACCAAGACATACCTCTGTTTCAATACAGTCAGTATGATTTTGGCTGTGTTAGGCTGCACTGACAATAGAAATAGCTGGTTTCCTGCTGAGTTTCAGTAAGGGATATTAGCAACCTGCTTCTTTTTGGCTAGAGGTCTTTGCCAATAGTAATAATGGTTTTTGAAATGCTGGATTTGGTAAGTGGAACAAATTAACCTAAATAAGCTGATCAAGTAATTTAATTTATTCTGGCAACACAGATATTCATAGCCTTATGCGAGAGCTGTGTTGTATGGAATTCTGTGTAGTTACATTTGAGATCTCTCTCACTAGCCTCCCCCCACCATCTTATTTTCTACAAGAGAGCACTAAACTGATTTTTTTCAGAATAATTTTTTCTGACTATGCTTTCCAGAATGTTTTTTTATTACTCTTAAAAGATTATTGTCTAGAGATTATGAAATTGTATTCCAGCAACAGATTGGAATTAGTTGCTGAACATTTTTATTTTATTTAATATTTTTATTCCACTAAATAGAATTAAGACCCGGGGGAGGGGGTGTTTTGCTTTTTTTGAAATATGAGAGATATATGATAATTCTGCTTCTTGTTCTACTTCTCACTTCCACTCCCTTTGCAATGGCTTCTGGCCAAGTGGTGATGTTATGGGAACCCAATTCAGATCCCCATTCATCCTGGAAGTTCAGTCTCTAGATGATGGTAGGCTGCTTCCCATCTCTCAGCAAAACCAACTTCCTTCTATTATTGTGAACATTAAAAGGGGCAGGAAAACTAACATTGATTGATGTTCCTTGAAGAACAGGTGTTGCGACTGAATAAGAAAAAAGTTTGCCTGCCCTTTTCCCCCCATGCATTTTCCCCACAATCATGTGTCGGTATCCACACGTCTTATAGCCATATTGGTGCAGTTGCTGATCAAAGCACAGATTTAGAGCACTGTCTTAGGTTCACAGAGAAATATTCTAAAAATGACAAACTCAATACTCTAGACAGCTTAAAAAAATCTATATAAATTTTAATTGAGCTGTAAAACCGTTGGGTTGATTGGAAATCAGAGCTTCTGGCACAAATTTCCTGGCACTCTGAGCTCTGGCACAAGAACTGAACCACTGCCAACCCCTTACCTGCTTTCACTGCCTTGTTTCTTGCCGTCCTCTCTTGTCTTTGAGGATGACAAGTCTGCCTCTTCCAGCCCAGAGTTACAGCCTTAAGTTAGTAGTGGAGCATACACTTTGCATGCCAAACGTCTCTGATCCACTTCAACCCTGGTATCTCCTGTTAAAAAGAGGCAATAGTCTGATCAGAAAGAGCCACAGCCTGTTTAGGTGGATAGTATAGGGCTGGCTGGATTAGCAGCTTCATTTGGGCATCGGGTGGCTTCATTGTTCTTAAGAAGGAAACAATAGCCTCACTGTTGCTTCAAAAAGTTGCTGACAAACTTCTATTTTTTTCAATAATTTTATTAAAGATGATATGCTGATAAAACTAATACAAGTACATAGTACAGAAATACATTAAAAAAATTAAAAAATTACAAGGAGTAAAAAAATATTGAAAAAGAAATCTCCCCCTTCATCCCCAGCAGGTATAATCAACATTAACAAGTTTATCTCTTAAAATACACCTGAGCATCATCTCATTCCGTTCTCTATAAACCCATCTCTTAAACCTCATTTCTCCATATTAATCAACAAAAATCCAGTAAGAGTTATCAGAAATTACAAGTATTACAAACTACAAGAGGCTGCAAAAACATCACTCCTTGCCATCTACTCAAAAGTCTTCAGCTGTCTAGAATACATCTGGGTAATCTCAAGATGTCTTCTTGATTGGGGGAGAATTTTCAGCAATTCAGACTCAGCATCCAGTTGCCTTTTGTTTCCTGCTGTCTATAGAACATCAGTTTGCCATTCTTCACCAAAAGCAGGGGAAAAAATGCTTACAAATTTCTTGACTAAAAACAATGAAACCTGCAATCCTCTGTATCTGCAACTCTCACTAATCCTCTTTGCCCAGAGGATGGTGGAAGCCACAACTGTGTGGAGGCTGCAAAATTGGAGGTGGTTGTATTGCAGTATTCCAATTAATAACCTGTAATTAAAATTAAAATAATTATGAGCAAGGATGTGAGCTCAAACCCTCCCCCTCCCCAAAGAAACACAACAGGAATAAATTTATTAAGGGAGCCCATGGCTTAGAGGTTCTGTATGTGAGGTTTTGGTGGTAGAAGAGATGGTGTGCTCCTTGTTCTTGAGGCCCTGCATTGCTGTGGTTACAAACTGATTGTTATATTAAGAAAAGGGGTCAAACAGCCAGGAGATGCTCAATAACGAAAGAAAATGGAATAACTTATCTGAAGCATCTGTATTTTTTTTTAAATGTGTTGTGATATTTGTCATTTGTTAAGAGGGGAGACAATCTACAAATGTTCAATAAAACTGACTGTGGCATTCAATGCCTGCCTTGTCTGGAATTTGCTGCACTTTTCAAGGAAACTTCAGAGGAAAGTGGAAATGTTTGCCTTTATTTTGCAGTAGGAGGAGGCATTTTAAGTTCTCAAAATAATGCTCTTAGGAAACTACTCCTTAGATTACATTGGGCCAGCCCACATCACACAAAGCATTTTGTACCAGGAGGAACCCTTGAAATATTTTTCACGCCTTGGGAAACCCCTGCACATTCAGGTTCAAATGTAGGCAAGAAGTTAACAAAATTATATGTGTTCCCTAAATCCAGCTTTTCCTCATTTCCTATCTCCTCTCCCAAGAATCCCTTTGCAAAACTAGAGTGGGGGCTGATGGCTTGCAACCTCCCAAAACCTATCCTTTTAATATTTGGACTCCTCAGTCGCTCCTGAAATCTTGCCACCTGGATGTCGAAGCCTTCACCACCACAACCATCACTTTTCCTTTTCCCTACCTCCTTCCCCTCCTCACCTTTGTGAGTGTCTCTTGCTGCCCCTGGTGCCCATGCCAGATCTCCTGAAATGAAGCTTCCCAGACTACTACATATGCAAACAGGAAACTCAACAAGGAGGCTGCAGCAGTATCTCTTGCATGCTTCTCTCATCACCTCCTGCTTCTCTCCTCCACAATGACACCCAGGGTCTGCACAGGCTCCAGCAGGCCAACCCAGTGTTGGAGGTTGTCGTTTTTTATCAGTCTCTGCTTTTAAAAAATAAATAAAAATTTCCCAGGGAAGCTCTAGTGACCTCTCCTGGAATCCTGGGGTTCCTTGTGACCCTGGTTGAGAAACCCTGAGGAAGGCAGTGAGACCTGGTGCAGTTCATTGAAGGGAAAAAAAAATTGAAACTTCTCAGCCTTTGGGGTGATTGTGTCACGACTCCCTCCCATTCTGAACACCTTCCTTTCAAAACAGGAAAATTCAGACTGCTTGTCATGGATTGTATGTTGCAGCTCTTTCAGTTACTTTCCTTTCCCGTAGACTGAATTGTGACACAGGAAAAGTCCTCGTGTTCTTTATTCCTAAGCAAATGTAATTGCATCTAAGTTTTTGTAGGTCTTTGAAGAAAGGGTTTATTTATAATAATTTTATCGGCTGCATTCATAGGCTTATT